TCTTCCCTTACCTGAATTTCTGTAAATCGTTCGGTTTAAATTAAGCGGCCTTAAGGCCTTAATTTTTACAGCTGTGATAATGTTTGACCTTGAAAAATGTGTTGTGCATCTCTACCTATAAGACGGCGAAACTGCATGGCTGTGGTTTTTGTTTACTAAGGACACGGTCGAGTTTGAATCTGAAGAAAAAACATGTTATGTTCTCAAATCCACGTAAAATGAACATCTTGTCAGATTCCCCAATATTTAGCTTTTTGATCATCGGCCTGTTTCGACTCTAGGCGCATGATGACCCAGTGTGCCTAGTTCATTCAGATGCTGATTTTATTCGTTTCAAAATATTCCGAAACAAGTTATTAGTGGTCGTCGACTAATTCACTGAACATATACGGCGAAAGAGCAGGCATTTAAGACCACGAAACGTTTCTATGTGCATATGTAACACTGTAAATTGCACGCACAGAAATAACTTCCAGCAAGATGACGTTAGCAACGTCGCTCAGAACAGCTTTACGTAGATAACAAGTCACTCCTTCAACGGATGGTGCGTTTAGCAGTCCACAATATTTCATGTTTCAAAACGTTGTCTAAAAGCGGTCTTAGTGACCGCTGGAGAAGTTTCTTGCCTAAATACCAAAGTTAGCTCAGGAATTTTGTCAGAAGATAGTCGAATAACGAAACGTAGGTGGCGTTCAGCTTAACCGTGCTAACGGCAATTTAGACGAACTTCATGTTGTGTGAGTTTTGCACAACTTTATATCACTCTTCTTCACTCAGTAGACAACAGTATCTGAACGTCCTCGGTTCTGAGACTTCTTATCTAACCTTGAAACACATAGCGCCACCGTGAGGGCGCGGCTCAGAAGGGGCTAGGAGGGATATCCCCATCAGAATTTTATTAAGGCTAATTACTATTGTAGAAATTAATTTCTGGCGTACAATTGTTAATTTGAGGGATCAGAGAAAAAAAGTAAACCAAAATTTAGAATATTCGGCGGATAAAAGTAATATTTAAGCTAATTTTAGTAAGTATATTAAGAGAAGGGGCTCTAAGTGGGCCAGAAGGTGATTGGCTTCTTTAAAATGGCCTGCATTTCATTGGTTGCATTACCATGGGACTGCACGTGACTTAACATGATTGGCTAATTCAGTTGACGTCAATACTGCCTAATGGAATTCGCATGTTTGCGCCATTTTGTCGTGAAGCACACCGTTTTTCACACCAGAACATCGGCTCTCATTATTGTGATTGCATTTCCGATAAATTTTTTAATCTCTTGCTGTTTTCCTCTAGCATGTGAGGCCTACGTCTATAAGAACTATAAGAAGATAAGCTAAGTGCGATTATCTTGCATTTATACGTCAAATTATCCTCAATCGTCGGAGAACTTTGATATTTTGGTGCGTAAACAAAGCCTTTTTTATGTTTTTAACGCATGTCTGTGAACTTGTATGTTTGATGTCCTAGTTGTAGTTCCTTTAGAAGATACTAAGTATGGACGACAGTATTTAACTTTTGCAGGGTATTAAAGCTGCATGTATGGCGCTACAATTGTAGAGATTGCCGAATAAATAGAACTAATGACAGAAGTCCAAATTCAGTGCTTTCTGGTGACAGTATAATGAGGATATCTCAGCCACCGCAGGTCATCTGGCTGCAAGTGATGGCAACTGAATTTCTGTCAAGCCGCACTTTAATGGAATTAACCAGTGTCGCACACGTTCTGTGTTGTAGATACAACAGGTAATTGCATTCGACTTTTAAGCAGCCTTGTTTGTATTCTATCCATATACGTAGTACCATTGCTCTTCTAAGTCACTTGCATTCGTAATTAATAATAATAATAATTTGTATATTTAAAGCCCAAGGGGCCCTGTCGTTACAAAATTAGTGCTATTGTAAAAATAAAAAATAAAAATTATAAAAAGTGAACTCTTAT